GGGCTCAAAGGTGCTGCTTCCCAGGGCCATCAGCCCCCGTCCAGGTAACTAAAGAAAGGAGGAGACTGCATCGCCTGCTGGAGCCGGCCCCAAGCCCCTCCTGGCCGTGTGCCTGGGGCCGTGCACCTAGAGCCACTGTGCTGCCTTGAGACCTTCCTAGCTGTTGAGCTCTGTGCAGCACAAAGAAATGAGTCAGTCCCTTTCCCTTCCCTCTGCTGTCACTGTACCTCAGTCAGCATCCCCGCCTATGGCCCTGAGCTGAGAGGGCCATCCCCAGCCACCCTCGTGGCTGCCATGTGAGCCAGCGGCCTCGTCCTGCTGCCTGCGGAGGGATGACAGCGCGGCTGTGCCATGCCATGGCGCTCTGCAGGGAGGGGCCGCCTCTCTGTTCTGCGTCTGCTCAGGACAGGAACTGTGCTCACTGACTGCCCTGTGCCAGGCTGAGGTCCTTGTTCCTAGGGACAGGCAGCAGGCAGCTTGTGGAGCACAATGCAGCAGGAGGGCTGGCCTGGTGGAGGTGGCGAGCCGCTCCTAACAGCACCCAGCACTCAACCCCCAGGGCAGATCTGCAGGGCTCTGCGGCGGCTGCCACCCTCCCTTCTTCCCTAGTTCTGTCTGCGCCTGATAGCGGCACTTTGCAAACCCGTCCGCCATTGCACCCTGCGTCCAGTGCCCAGCTGCTGTCCTGAGCTGCTTTGCACAGCTCGTCCCTTCACCACGGCTCCGCACTGTTTGAAGCCCTTCTGCTGCCACATGTCCCCCTCTGCTGAAGCCACATCCTTCCGCGATGTGGAAGCCAAGAGAATGGCGGGAGCCAAGGCCCAGACTCCTTGCATATGTCTGCAGCCACTAGCGCGTCACAGCGCTTCCATGCTGCCCTGCTGTGGGCCGAACACACGGCGCTGCCCCTCCTGCTCAGCCCAGCGCCCTGCCGCTGGCCACCTGATGGCCTTCCTTTAGCCACTGTCATCCTTGGGACATGGTTCGCTGTCACCATGTGTCCGTGCGCTGCACACCCCACCTACAGGCCTGACCTCCTGGTGGCACAGCCCCTCATAGCCTCAGCCCAGTCCCCCCATGGAAGGTGGTGACCGTGTTGTGGCCAACACACACCAGAGCCCACTGGGCACAGCGCCCGCCCCAGGGATGGCAGATGAGTCCCCACGGAGGACGGTCAGACAGGGCTTTGGCTAAGACAGGATAAGGTAGGAGAATTGAAAACAAGTCTACTTGGATCCGTCTTTGTTTTTAAAGAGCGTGTTCGGTGACAAGAACAATCTGTTTGCCCGTTTCTTTGCATGAACAGCAAATGTCAGAATATGCTTAAAAGTAGCCCTTCAGCCTGGTTAAGAGTGGGCCTGGCAGCTGGCACTGGCCAGCCCCATCAGGAGGACTGATAGCTCACTATAAAGTCCAGGCCTCAGCGTTCACTGCCAGCCATGCGGCCCCTAGGTGCTGTGCTCCTGGAGCGCTGCGAATAGGGCAATAAGCAGGCCCAGCACGGGGCTGGGGATTTAGCTCAGCGGCAAAAGCGCCTGCCTGGCAAGCGCAAGGTCGTGAGTTCGGTTCCTGGTACCGGAGAAAAACCAAAACCAAAAAAAAAAAAAAAAAAAGCAGGCCCAGCACTCTGGTGCTTCGTTTTGATGAATAAGGATGAAGAATTTTAGGAACGGGAAACAGGCATCTGCAGCGTTCAGTAGAGCATGTGGGATTTGTCTTTTGAATCTGGGGTGTTCTAGCTTGCACTTGTGCACCCTGCAGATGGAGGTGCCCGACACTGAGGTTCTTGGGTTGTCAGGCCACTTGCTGACCAGGGACATTTCAAGCAAGGCTGCCTTCACTTCCACCCCTTTCCATAGAGCCTGAGGTTCGTCCTTGTGCGGAGCTGACCACCCCTCTTCTGGATCATGGGGCTTCAGCCACTCCTGGCCAGAGGTCTCATGAGATGCACTTTGCATCTCCTTCCAGGGCTTTCCAACAGGCTGGGTGGGTAAAGGATGCTTTGTCGGGTTTTACTAATAGGTAAATGATTCCTGGGAAAGGACAGGCGTGCAGGTGTTGGCCGTCTTGAAGGAACACTAGAAGGTGCTAGAGACAAGTGCTGCAGTGTTGTTGGAGACAGGGCTTCACTATGCAGTCGGTTCAGGCTGGCCTTGAAGTTGGTTCTGTCCTTTTACATCAGCCTCTCGAGTGCTGGATCAAGGCATGTGCCACCACAGCGGGCAAGCGCCTGCATTTATTTGCAAGCCCAGCTAAAAACCGAGCTGTGTTTGCGTTTGCCTTACTAGGGGGAGGAGCTGAGCTGGGGTCCCGAGCTGGGGTCCCTAGGTGGTCATAAGGCTGCAATGGTTACACTGTTGTACAGCGCCAGGAAGAGATTGGTGGAGTGGCAGCATTGCCGCCCATCTCATGTGCAGGACCCTGTGAGCCTTGCTCCGTGTGACGACCCCATGCCGAGCACTGTTCTCAGGGAGCGGCTGGTACTCCTGATGCAGTTGTGGGAGCCGGGATTCTCCATTGTAGTTTAGCGATGCGCTTGCTCTCAGCCAGCAGGGAGGCGCTGTGAGGTGCACGTCGTTGGGCCAAGGGAGAAGTGGTTAGGAGGTGGCCCAGTGCCTTGATGGCCTGTCTGCTGAGTGCCATCCTCTCCAGCGCTCAAGGGTGCTGCTGCTCAGAAGCCCTTGGGACTGCTGCAAAGACCATCTGCAGCCATCCTCGCGTGCCACACGTACTCCGAGACCTCGGGCGCTCTGTCCCCGGTGGACCTCAGGGTACTCGGGCTGTCTTTAACTGTGTCTTCTTTCAACCCCCAGGAGCAGATCATCAGTCTCGTCAATCAGATCTGTGGCAAAGTATCTGGCAAGAACGGCAGCATTGAGAACTGTCTCAGTAAACCCACACCAAAACGAGGCCCCCGCAAGAGAGCAACCGTGGACGTGCCGCCGTCGCGGCTCTCAGCCTCCGGCTCCTCCCGAAGTGCTTCGAGCTCATCATGAAGACGCCAGCCCCATGGTCGATTTATATATATTTTTTTGTAATTATTATATTCTAGTTTGGAGTACTTGCTGTAGGATACAAGCTGTCTTTGCACTAGCTCTAAAGAAGATTTTCTTCTGGTTTTAGAGAACTAATTTTGTTTTAGCATTAAACTGTTGGAACTTTTTTTTGTACTTAGAATACCTAGACACTGCAGTCAGATTTTTGAAACTGCCGTATATTCACTGTTTTAAAAACCCTTAGGGGGCTGTATTAATTTGTATTGCCCCTATATGGCTGACAAAAGCCCTTTTTGTTTAATTTTTTTTTTTTTTTTTTGTAACTTGGGGAAAAAAGGCTTTTTAACCCATTTTTGAAGAGGGTGAAGTTTGGAGAACAAATTTTAAATCCATCAAGTCATGTGAGCAGATTTTTCTAGATCAGAAAAGGGATAGGAGACACACACAGACACACACACAGAAAAAACTTGAAAAGAAATGGCTTTACTTTGGCTGTCTTTTCTTCTGTCATGTGCGAGATGAGTTCGTATTTTCAAACCGGAGAGGCCCGCTTTGGTTCGCGGGTGGTTATGGCAGCTGAAGGCGGAGGTTGGCGTGACCAGGTTCTCGTTACCAGCTGAATCACTATGCATCGGAGGACGGAGACAGACTGCCTGCTTGGAGGGTCACTGACGGAGACCTGTGCCTGATTTCATTAGGAAATCCATTCTGTTATTTTTTGGTGCTGTTGGCTACTTTATCAAAAACCCTTCAATAGCATCCTTAAGGAAAAAATGATTGAAGCCGCAAGTGCTTCTTTGTCATCGACGTGCAATCTTTCTAACATTCCATCTTCATCTCACTGTTTGTTTCACACCTTCACAAGTCAGCATTAATCTTTTTTTTTTTTTAATTTGTTTTGTTTATGATCACATTTAGAGCCACTAGGAGGTCTGCAGTCCTTTTTGAATGTGAAAATGCATTTGCGCTCATCTTATCTATTTTTTCTGTCCATGTTGTAACAAAAAGAAAAAAAAGAAAAAAAAAAATCCCATCCCTTTTGTACATACGCCTGTAAATTGTTTTAAATACTTGAGCCTTTCTCGGAGGGGAGGGGAGGTGAAAGACAGATGAAGAAAAGCCTTACACTTCAGTTTCTTCATCGGGTGGATCGGATGCTTACAGGGTTTTTCTTGTAACATTTATAAGTGCTGCTTACATCACTGAACAACAACAACAAAATAATAATGGAGTCGCTGTTGCCCTTCTCCGGTTGTGTGTACAGTATGTGTGGAATAAAAAAGGGAAATTGTTTTCACAAGCTGTTCTTTGTTTCATAATTGGATTCATCGACCCCGTAGCTACCCGTGTTGCACTGAGCTTGCCGGTGGTGACGGCCAGGAACGTCCTAGGATCCACTTTGTTGGTTGTTGTTGCAGAAGACTGAACTGTTTTGGAATATTTAACAATTACATAAACAGTCAAGTGTTTTCCAATGTGGTTGTCCGGTTTTTATGGCCTTGCTGTGTACTTTTCCCTCTTTTGACAGTAAACTTCCGCCTATGGCTTACAGTTTGACATTTAATTTATTAGCGCTGCTCTGCACCCCTCCCTTGAGAGGGAAGACTTCATGTGGTTTATTGCCAGTTTTTTGTTTACTTTTCAGGTTTGTACTACAAGGTTTAATAATAAAAACAACGTTTTTGGACATTTGTCTGTCTGTGGAAGATGAGTGGATGACGGGCTGGGTGTCCACCGCGGGCAGGGCTGTTCACTGTACCTGGCCTTGGTCAGCTGCAAACCCAAGCTCTGGCAGGGTGCACTGGGACCCCTCAAGTGCTGAGGCAGGGTTTGCCCCTGCGAAGGGGCAGGAGGCTCACAGCTTCCTTCCCACAGCCGCATCGCACGGCCCGCCCTCCCCGGCCACCCGGGAACCGGGAGCGCCTGGCCCTTCCCGGTGCACTAAGGAGCCCGTACTCACGCGGCCTTGGCACCCGTAACCGTGTACAAAGCAGCTATGCACTCTGGGTTTAGAGTCCTCAAGCTTTATTGTGCGTTCTTCTCTCGGCCTCTCTCACCCATCACTGGCAACCGTAAACCCAGGCCAATCCACTTAAACATCTTGACTCGAGTCGCTGTCCCCACTGACATCCGAAGTGGCCTTGCTGTTGGTGTGGAAGGTGGCCAGGGCAGTGTCCACCTGCACCTCCTCCTCATCTGCCTGGACCAGGGGGCCATCCCTACCCTCGGCATCCTGGGTGGCAGTGTTGCTGCAGGCAGATGGGGAGGAAGGTGGCTTGGGAGGTAATTCTGGAGGATTTGGAACTTGAAGAGTGATCTCATTCGGACAGGTTTCAGAGTCAGGTCCTGTGAAAGAAAACGGGGGTGGGGGTCTGTCAGGAAAAGACCGCAGGCAGGAGACTGGCCTATGCCCAGTAATGGGGCCTGCTGCTGCGGCCTGCTCTCCGCCGGCTCACTCGGCGCCCCCCGGCCCACGCACCGGTTGAGAGGACGAGCACCTCTGACCCCCGAGCCTCTGGAAACAGTGGGGACCAAGTGCTGCAGCACCCGAGGAAGCGACTCTCACTCCAGTGCGAAGCCACAGCTGGAACTGGTGACTTTCCGGCCACCCCCCGAGCTTACGGCACTGAAGTGCTTCCACGAACGATGTTGTGCCCTCACCACTGCTGTCTCCTCCCCTGCCCCAGGGGAGGGACAAGCTTCGCTTCCTGTCACGGTAACAGGTCAGTGCACCCAGGCCACTGCCTCCCGGGGAGGACACCAGTCTCACAGGTGCGCCAGACGGGAGATGAGAAGTGGGCCTAGCGATGGGGACTTCCTGAGGTGGCGCCGGGACTGAGCTTAGCCCTTCTTTTCTCATGAGTGGGAAGCAATTTACAAGCCCAGCTGGGGATGTTCCAGACACCCGGCCAGAAGTCTGCACTTTTACATGTAGTGAGGCCTGGCCTGGGGTGGTGCCTCAGGAAACACTTGCTTACTGAATGTGAGACAGCTTCAGGAGGGCACAAGATGGACTCTGAGTGGCTGAGGAGTTCTGGGGACGTGTGGGGCTTTGGCCCAGTGCAATGCCACCTCGAGTCCGCTAGTGGAAGACAGGAGCTTCACAATGACAAAGCCACAGGCTGAGCGCTGTGCAGGACTTGTCCTGCCAGGCACAGCTGAAATAACTACTGGGCCGGAGGAAGGGAGCCGATTAGGAAGGCCCTGCCCTGCTCGATAGCCCGGGGCATGGGGCGAGGAGCAGCAAGTCCTGGCTTCGTTCATGCACGTCTGTGGGCCCTACCTAGGCCAGGGGACGGCATGGTGTTGTCCTCGCCACCCGAGTTCAGAAAGACATCCAGGGCCTCCTGGTCGGAGATGTCCATGAGGTCCATCTGCTCCAACACGTCCACGTTCACTTCCATGGACGACATGCTGCCCATGGGCTCTGTGGACAGAGGTGCAGTATAGCAATTAAAGGTGCGTTTCACTGGCATCAGGCTGATTCCACCTAGCTGAGTGGCAGAGTCCAGTTAAACCTGTCCTAAGTCACCTCTGAGAGACGCCCTCTGCAGGCGCCGGCTGGGGATGGAGTGGGGTGCTCCGGCCTGCAGAGGCCGTTTCACTGCAGCTGCCGCCTCTGATTCTAGGCAATGTCTGCTCTGCCCTCGGGACAGTTCTCATCCTGATTCGGTAGCCTGTGATCTCAGCAGCAGAGGTGTGCGCCTCTGCAGGCTGGCAGTGGGGCTGACAAGGGGAAGAGAGCCACACCCGCCGGTCAGTGGCAGGGTGTGCCTCCCAGATCTGGAGCTTGCATGTCAGCTTCAGAAAACGACACGCCCGTGGAGTCCTTCCAGGCGTGCTAGTGCCTGGCTGAAGCAGATGCGAGGTGTAAATAGCTGTCCTTATCCTTGGGTCTCACGGGGTATAAACTCACAGTATAAACCTGTTCCTACCCAGTTCTGAACGCGCCCACACAAGGAAGCCACTGCCTAGGAGCGAGGGTGAGCAGTGAGGACGCAGGGTTGGCATCCTCTCCTGGGAACTTCAGGGACCAAAATACAGGAGACCATCAGACCCGGCATCTGAAATGGGCCAAGTAACTTCAGAGAATTTAATCATAGCACAGCCAACCAAAATGCATGAACTAGATGACAGTGAATGACTTCTCTTACAGTACAGCACAGAAATAAAAAATGCAAAGGCTTATCTTGCTCACAGATCCAGAAGAAGAGAACAGAGGAGCAATTACATTGACAGGCCAATTATTTTTCAAAATAGACAGACTTGGGACCCAGATTTAGAAAGTAAAATACACTGCAAACAAGTTGAGTCCCAGGAGGAAAAGCTAAGTGCAAGCACATTAAATGAAGAGTCTTGGACATTTGTGAGTGAGCGGAAAGCCTGGAATGAAGCGGGCACACACAGCGGGGGAGCAGCCAGGCCACTGCGGGGGACACGACCGGGCTGGGAGCTGCTGTGCACGCAGGAAGGGAGGAGTCCGAGCAGGGGCCTCCGCCCTTCACTAGGTGATGTGAAGAGCAGAGCTGGCCCTTCTCATGGTGCCATGCTTAGGGACCACATCCAAAGCTGTCACGCCGGCAGGAGACCTGCGCTGCTCGGAGCTCCGTCTTCTCCGCAGTCTGACCTCATCCCCACAGCGGGCACCAGAGTGCAGGCCCTGCTCAGACCCTGATCACCGGGTGGCCTGGGGGACCTGGTCAGCCTATGGCCAGATTTGGGGCTGGGGATTTTTGTAGCTACAGAAGCCTTTGAGTGTGTCCTTTCTGGCTTTTTGCCCAGTGTTTTGACTTCAGTTTTGCTAAAGTAAGAGAAAAGGGCTGTGGTAGGGAAACGAACGGGAGGGGCTAAGGGGAACTGAAAACAGCACTGAGTAGAGTACAACTTTTAAGGTCGGTTTCACCCAGATCATTCAGGACTTTTGCATGACTCTATTTTTGGCTATTCTAAAAGTAAAAGCTGGCGAAGCAACAGTGAGAACATGGAGGGTGTTAGCCCACCTCGCTGATGACCCGATATTAGCTGTCCTAAAACTAGTAAGGGGGGGAGGGAATTTAAATGCTCAGATACTGTTCATCACAAAAACTTAAGTTCAGCTAAAACGGTAGCTTAACAAAAAATTCATAGCTTTCAATGCCTTACCAGGAAGAATGCAAAGTATCTAACCTACATACGAAGAAAACTAAAGAGGAAGAATGAATGAAACGACAAGAAAAACCAAAAGCTTGGCTCCTTAGGGAAGACTGCTTAAAGACGAATAGAGAAAGCACAGGTAAGTAATTTTAGGGGAGTGCAAAAGCAAATCTGAACACGCATAGCAGGTACTTCTGTGGACAGTGCTATGGTAAAAGCCTGAAAACTAAAGCCAACTCCACACCAAAATTCATGAACAGAAACTGTGCTGTCACCCCCAGGACAGTTCTTCAAAAGAGCAGCCTCTGGGCCCGAGTAGCGCCTTCCAGCGCTCAGGAGTAAATGAGCAGCGGCTCGGAAAACCCAGCCCTGTGGAGGCCGGTTCGCTCATCAGCCCAGCTCTGCCTGAACTCTGGACAGGGTTTTTCAAAGAACTTGAGACTTAAAGTGAAGGAACAAAGAACAGCTCTGGCAACTAAAGAAACATGGTCTGTGCAGGGGTATGGATGGGGGACTAAGACTTGCTATGAAGCAGCATTTCCCAGCCTCTGCTGATGCTCTAGGCCAGCTAATTCTTCCCACGGGGCCACGGTGTGAAATGTAGGCGGGGTAGCAGTACCCCTGGCCTCCGCCCACAGATCCTACGGCACTCCCCACCCAGGTCTGCAGACAATGACAGATGTCCCTAGCTAGAAACTGCTGCTGCTAATGCAAGTCCTCCACCCCCCCCAGACCTGCACGCAGAAAGCGGGCCCAACGAGCCAGGCCTGGACACTGTGCGGGGGAGAGGCTGCTGTGCTCAGGCGGGAGAGCCACTGGCCAAAGCAGCCCTCACAGAGAGACATGACAATGTCCACACCAGCGCTACTTTTAGGAAAAAAGGTTTGAAAAACTCCGAACACATAGCAACATCGCGGTGAACACACGATGCTGCATTTGCTCAGTGCAAATGAGGATGGACATCAAGTGGGAGCTGACCGCTCACGGATGCTTAGCAAGATGCCTGCCCGCGAGTGCACGGTGCGGGAACACACCTGTACTCCTACTGCTACGTGGCTTTAACACTTGCAAAGCACGCCACGCATCATTTTGGGGTGTGCGTGCGTGTTGTGTGCGCATGCGTGTGTGTGAAGGCCGAGGAAGGGAGCATGTGATCAGAAAGGGGCCTGGGACTCGTGTTGGTGAAATTTTATTTCTTCAGCTAGGGGTATGTGGGTATTAACTACTGCTGCATGTCTGGAACATCATAACGTTCTTTGAAGATCTGAAGCAAATATTAACTGGAAATGTGGGTATGTTAGACTAACATTAGCTCTTTTCTTAATATTTAAAATACTTTCTAATTAAACTGAAAACCATTACTGAATGACAGCAATGTTTGAAATTCTAAATAAAACTCTCATGGGTAGATAGTTATATCAAGATGAAATCAGAAGCCAGCAGCTGTATCTGAAGTCATCTTTGCAGTGTAGGCGCAGTCGGCCAAGACCCAGCCTCTAACTGTGGGATTGCAGAGCTAGAAAACAGGGTACAGAACACGACCTCTCCCTGGCGACCTAGCAGTCAGGGTTCCCCGACACTCGGCACAGACAAAAGCAGTATGAAGGCTTTCCTGAGAAATCGAGAGTCACACAGCAGATCAGCCTGGCCAGGCCGTACAGCTCCTGTAGCCCGCTCTCCGGTCCGCCCAGCTCACGGCATCCAGTGGCTACAGATGGGCGTCTTCCTTTCCTCTGGTCACTTCTGAGTAAGACTTTCCATGGCTTTGTCTTAATTAAAAAATGATGGCTTGAAAATGAGGGAAAATACCCCTTAGGCTTCTATTTCAGATGTAGTGGAATGAGTCCAAACCACCATGTTCACTGTAGAGATTTTTAATTTTGACTGAGTCTTCTAAATGAAACTCCCACTTCCACCTTTGGGTAGGAGGATGCCGCCTTCACACGGGGCGGGGGCGGTGCCTGTCAGGCCGGGTAGGCCGTGGAGAGGGCTGCTGACCGTGTGGAGGCCTCGTCAGCTCTCGCTGAGGCGAAAGCTGCAAATCCCAAGGCCGTAAGTTTTCTTCATCAGTGCTTTAGAACCACATACTGGCAACATGTGCCTGGCTCCATTATTTTTTTTTACCCTTAAAAGAGTGAGTCACATACTTTCTTGAAGAAAATTATTTTTGAGATGCTCAAAACCACAAAGACCCAAGCACTGACCAGGGAACTGACAGCCATCTCACAAGCACTGCCACATGCTTCTGGCCTGGCCCTGCGCTCAGCCAGCTGTGGAGGCTGCTGCAGCGGGGGCGGCGGTGGCTGTGGGACGTGTGCGGGTGAGACGAGGTCACCTGGCGGCCCCTGCCGCTGTGAGAGAGACTGGGAGAAGGGCCCTGCCCTGTGCACGCTGCCCGCAGCTCTCCGAAACCGGGAGAAGCAAGCTTCTGCGGTTTGGGTCACCCAGTCTGCAGAACTCTGTTCTGACACGGCCAGGACAGGATGCGGATGCCCGGCACGCACCTCGTTTCCTCCCTAAGGAGCCACGGAGGCCGTGCTGTGCACCTGGGCACTGAGCAGCTCAGCTGGGCCTCTGCCATCAGGGTGACATGGGACGAGGCTGACGCTGGAGGCGCAGATGAAAACTTGAAGGCCACGGAGGCCGAAACGGCATCTCCTGGATGGACTACCCGCGTCCAGCAGCACTCGAGGTGGCACCGACGGGGCTTTGGTCTGTCCTCTGCATTATTTTCTGTCCTCTCCTTTGCATTTCGTTAGCCCTTCCTGGGAGGAAACATGCATGACAGGGAAGGGACAAAGCCAAGCCACATGAACTAGGGGCTGCGGCAAGGGCGGGCCAGGGGAGGGGCTGTGTTTCAGTGCTGAGACCTGGGAGCGGGGTCCTGGGCACTAAGCTGCTTAGCACAGGGGCCCCGACCCGATCTCCGACTGCCTGACGCCACAGGCCACGTGTGCCTGTGCACCGCGATGCGGGCGCCGGGGATGGGCAGACGCTGCTGCAGGGAGGGTGCAGCGCCTTCGCTGTTCCCCACTGGCTTGTTCACTCCTGCATCGAGCCGTCGCTCACAGCACCACTGACCGAGGGAAGAAGCCTCAAAGTTCAGCACAGGAACGGATCCAACCCAGCTGTTCACATCCACAGGTTCCGAGCTGCAGGCGAAGCCAGCCTTGGGTGCAAAGGGTTAGAAGTGCGGTGGCTGTCTGTCTGCACACATCCTAGGCATCCTTCCCTGCGGGCTGTGGTCCAGAGACATGCGGGCAGCACGCACGATATGAGGTGTAAGTGAGCTCCGGAGGACTTAAGGCCCATGAAAGGCTGTGTGGAAGTTATATGCAACACAACAGCATTTTCGCTAAGAGGCTGGCGCGTGCGCGCACAGTTGGGTGTCCACGCAGAGGGTCCTAAGTCCGGCCCCCGGGATGCTAAGGACAGCTGTGTTGTAGAACAGGCTGTCTCCTGAGGAGCGAGAGGCACCCTGTAAAACCCTCTCAATCAGCCTCTTCTTCAGCTGCAGCGTGGAACCTGGGCCGCAAGCATGCTGAGCACACGCTCTGCCACTGAGTGACTGCTCCAGCCCCTCAAGGAATTTTTAGTCATGCAGGGAAAAACCTCATACAATAAGGCAGGTACAAAACCATACAGATATATAGTTGGTTACCAATTACACACATAACCTCATGAACAAACACTGGGAAGAACCATACTCAAACAGTAATAGGCATTTTACTATGCTTTGGAATCAGGAGTAACTTGTTTATCTTTTTCACTTAAAAATATTTTTCCAGCTGGGTGTATAGCTTAGTGGTAGAGCCCTTGTCTAGCATGTGTGAGACCCTGGAAAGAAATAACGGTAAACAAGGTTTTAAAAATTCTCTTTCAAATTTTGTACAAGCATAATTTATAAATTTACTTATTTATTTGGTTTTTGAGACACGGTCTGACTACTATAGTTCAGGCTGGTCTTGAACTCATTATGTAGCCCAAGGTGGCTTGGAACTTGCAGCAATCCTCCTACCTCAGCCTTCTGAGTGCTGGGATTACAGGCATGTACCACCACACCAGGTTTATCATTTGTAATTTTAAAAGGTTTTTGTCATTGTTGACTTTTTTGTTTTGTTTTGTTTTGGTATCGGGAATCAAACTCAGGATCCTATGCTTGCCAGGCAGGTGCTTATGCCACTGAGCTATGTCCCCGGCCCTTTTGTTTTTTACGTCTTTAACTAGAATTTAGAACTACAGGGAGAGGCATAAGGGCCAGGCAGACAGGCCCTGGGGCTCACACTTTGACTCTGAGGTACGCAAAAAGACGGACCTCTCACGGCTGTGTTCCTCACCACCCCAGCTCACCTCGCCTCTCCGAGATCTGCAGGTAGCCCGTAGACAGGTACTGCTCCATGTCCTGCTGGAAGGCTTCCTCAAAGAACTTCTGCCGTTCCTTCAGCTTCATCTGCTGGGCGTGCTCCATCTCCAGGACCTTCTGCGCGTGCTCCGCATCCAGCTCAGCTGGGGAGGCAACACTAACATCAGGGTTTGCACAGCACCTCCATGTGACGGTGTCACACAGCTCCGAGTGACCCGGGCTCTTCCCATCGAGCCGAGCAGCCTCCACGTCCCCCACAGCCTCACAGGTGCTGCTCCCCGCCCCTCGTCACCCACTCCTCAGTGGCAAGTTACTGTCATCTTTTGGACCAGCCTCCCAGACTCGGGCTAAGTCGAGTGGAATGTGTCACTCCACCCTGATGTTTCTCCGTCACTGTGCTCATCCTTGTAGCTGGGACGTTACACACAAGGTGAGACGCGCACTGGAGAACCGTGACCACAGTTCAGTGCCCGGCATGCTGTAAGCCCTCAACAAAAACTAAGTACTGCGTAACAGAAATGGGACAGTGTCCAGCCTTACAGAGGAAGGGCACAGACAGCAGCACGAGGTGAGCTTCCCGGAGCTACACCAGGTGGAGCACACCCATCACGAGAAGATGAGCTCTTCCACCCAGGAGGGAGCTGGGAGGAGCAGGGTTCCTGGAGACGGAAAGGACCGCGGTGGCTCCGGTGAGCGGGACGGCGGGAGCGGGGCGTGTTTAACCGGGACGGAGTCTCGGTTCACAGACCAAGACAGCTCTGCAGGTAAGTGGTGGTGAACGCCACTGTACATTTCACAGTGGGGGAGACAGTAACTTTATGCTATGTATATTTTACCACCATGAAAAAATCAGGAAAAAAGTTAAATAGTAGCCACTGTGGAGTATTAGAAAGTGCTGAACCATTTTGCTTTTTTTTACCAACCATGTAACCTGGCTAAGAAGTCAATTAATCTTCATCTAAACATTTTGGAGAAATACGAACTCAATATTGATATGAAACTTCTACGAAATAGGATGAAAGAACTTTAGCGGAAGAGGGCAGTGGCCTTTCCAGTGACACCAGCAAGAGTTACTACTCAAGAACCCCTTCACGGTGCCTCGAAAGAGCCCCGCGCACAGGTCCTCGGGGTGCGTGCAAGGGACCAGGTACCGATGCTCACCCGACGGGATGAGGGGGATTTCTATACACGCCTGTAGCCCATGCGTCCTCTGCACTCCTCGCGGGATGTGGGCGGAACCCTAAGGCAGCCCCAGCCCTCTGCTCCGGGTGTGCCCACCTGGCATGACCCTGGGATGGTGACTGGGACAGCTAGCCCGTGTCCCTGTAATGTTCTGCGGCACAGCTGAAGTCACGCAGGGGGAACCTGGCCCGCCCAGGCTTTCTCACGGCCAGTGCTTTCCCAGGGAAAGACAAGAAGTGTAAGAGGGGCCTGACACGGGCGTGGCAGGTAACGTGGAAGCCGAGCACCCCCAGTGGACCAGTGTCAACACCGCCCCTGCAGGGGACTGGAACTCTGGAGAGACCTCACTTGAGCCTGTGAGCTGACCGGGCTCCAGGGCCTCCAGAAAGACAGCCCTGGGCTCTGACCCAGCCCGGAGCGGATACGTTTGCCTGGCTTTAAACTGCCAAGCCCCTGGTGATCTGGTGCATGGCAGTATGGCCGACTCCTCACAAGCTGTATGAATCCCAGCCGCTGCCTGAACTGGCTGACTGAAGAATCTAGAAAGGACAAGCCCAGCTCCTTAAGCAGATGTTGCAGAGTCCCTGCTCCGTGGCGGGCACTGTGCTCAGCTAACAGAAGGGCAGGCTGCTACCAATGCAGATCCCTAGCCGTCTCCTGGGGTAAACAGCGTCCCAAGCACAACCCACCCAAGGCCCGCTCCCGCTGCTTCACTCCGAGTGACAGCCTCTTCGAGACGTTATCAAGTGATTTTTAAACACATCAGACTTTACCGTGAACAGCCCACGTGGCCCTTGTGCTCTGCCTTGGCCTCCTGCCCCCTCTAATTCCCATCAGCACAGCTCCCAGTACAACATCATCTTCTTAGCATGACAGACCTTAAAACACAGCGCAGGAGTTTATTTCTCTTCAGTTCCGCACAGTGTCTCATACTTAGTACATCCGGGCTTTCTTCGCGTCCTCAAATCTATGTACACGCAAGGGGTGTAAACTAATGCTAACCAAAGCAACAGCAACCGGAAAGTAGATTTTCCCAATGGCGTATAATCGCACAGGTATTTCTCTGCATTCTCCTCACGCTGTTTGTTACGACTCTCATGTGTCCCTCACATTTCACGTCGCCCTCCATCTCACTCCTGCGTTTACAGGAAGCCATCTGACACAGCAGACAGGGCGCAGACTTGGGGTCAGTCCCAGGTAAGGTGCCGTCTCTCAGCAGATGCTTCTGGGCCTTCAGCTATCTACAACAGCGGTGGAAGGCGGTCCGAAGCCCACAGGCCTCCTCAGGCCAACCCTGGTCAGAGGAGCTTCTGAACCCTGGGGAGTCTCCACGCCGGCACAGCTCTGAAGCTCCGGGAAGTAAGGCGGTGCTCAACCAAGGGGTGACGGGAGTCACTGTGCCCCAGCCGGTGCCTTCCGCCCTCTGGGTGGACACTCTCGGGCACACTCCGAGCCCTGCTCAGGAGCCTGGTGCCCGCCCCCCGTCAGTGCCCCGTCGGCCTGCCCGCCTCCCGCTGCCCCCGGACGCAGAGAGCACCTGCGCGTCGGAGAGCCCCATCGCAGGACTCTCACTACTCCACCTGAGCCGCGGCTCTTTCCTCTGCACAAGCGAGATTTCGTAAGGGTGTTGCAGCGGTAAGCGAGGCAGCGTGAACGCAACACCAGGGACCAGCAGCTGACGAACTAAAATCTGTATCAGCGTTATCTACCCAAGACTCCCCAGAAGGGAGCGACAGGAAACTTCGCAACATCTGGGACAGAGTAGGACAGCAGAATCGCCCTGCTAGCCCCGCTCAGACACTGGAGACTTAGCGACCACGCTGTTGATACCTCCGCAGGGAATGAACTGAAGAGGACGTCTTTCCGTTTGTTTCACTTCCGCTGTCAGCGTATCCGTCCCAGTGCTTCACGACTGCCCAGGGCATCAGAGTAGGTCAACCCTAAAACCCATTAAGTATGCTTCAGACACTTCAAAGTTCAGTTCATCTGCTTTTAAAAAATAATTCCAGAATAAGCAGCTCAAAACCAAAGACCAATGTAGAAATCATCAAAAGAGCTTTAAAGAATATCTTGTTTTAGCTGAATTAAGATTTCCTATATATAGCCTGAAGATATTTTATTTTTCTCAAGACAGCTGTCTTTAAGTTTGATTATCTCATGTTTCTGAATTACTGGTCTTATAGATTTTTATCTTAATTTTTTTCTACATTGGGATGAAGTCCAATCATGCCTTAATCTTCCATGGGTGGGGATGGTTTGGATTAAGGAACTTAAAATGACTTTTAAAAAAAAAACCAACAGAACAAAATACCGCTGTTTGAAGTTTTAACACGCGCTGCTCCCTAGTTATTTGGAATCCCTCCAACTCTCCCACACTGGCTCACACTTGATTTCAGAGCTCTCCGCGTCCACCTCGGTGCTGACTGCTCGCTAAGCCGGCTCGCTGAGCGCGGAGTCCTGCTACACTGTACCGCGCACTCAGGGTGGTAAGTGTTTAAAAATAACTGCTGCTCAGAAGCCAAGAGATTCCCCTCAGCTACGTGACTGATGAGAATGTCCTAGCTGTGCTGCGTGTCCTGAAACCATCCTTTGGGCCTACAAAAAAGAACAACCAAATCTGGGAGCTGTGAGAAGACAGGAGGACATACGAAAGGAAAATGTCAAATTTAAACGTTTAGTCACATCTGAGTCTTAGAATGATTAGTGAAAAATCTGAATTTTCTACAAGGAAAAACAGCACATTGTTCATACATTAAGATGGTATTTATTATCCTGGGGAAAGCCAGACAAACACAAGGATTTAAAGAACTTCAACAAATGGCCTTAAGGAAAACACCCCCAAAAAGACATAGTAGTGTTTCTACTAGGAAGTAGCAGTAATCATTTCATTCCATTATCAACCCAGGACTATGTCTCTTCTTACTTTAACTCCAGATATTGCTCAAGTTTTATCTGACTGCAGCTTCCACTTTAGCTACCATTATCAATTTCACATGGTTACTCAAAACAAAAAACTCCATTACCAGTACAGATGCTACTATCAAGCCTCTACTGAATGTTTTGACGGGGCATAAGGGCCGCACAAAATACATGAAATTTACAAAAAGAAAATCCACCATGGTCATTTAAGGAAAAACCACCTATTCTGCGACTAAGCCTTTGCACAGAGCTGATGAGTGGGAAGAGACCGTGGGGTAAGGACTATGCCCCATCCCCGCAGGGCCGGTGGTGGGGAATGCATGAAGAAAGCCAGCCTTCTGGTTCAAAGAGTTAATGAAAATATCTTCAATCTAAAATATAAAATGAGAATAAACATTCAACTCAATATGAGTTGAGAAAAATTATGATCATCTCTACATTAAATATTAAGAACATTTTTTCATTCATGAGAAATAATTAAGACTAAGGACAAACTTTAACATCTGTAATTTAAATAGTTAGAATCTGATGTTGTTATACTGAATTAGGGAATATGAATTCTGCAAAATCCAAATCCATAGGACATGATCAAAGGAGAATTGTGAAATCTCTGCAAATGTCTAAACACAAATAAATATTCCAAAGTGTTTTGAACAAAAACTTAACTACCAATAAGCTGTCCAATTACATGATTACTAAAAAAACTACACTAAATTCTATAACAATTTAAAAGGTGAAACCTATCAATCTTTTCCATGCTTCTGGTGATTAGTTTTTTAAATATACGAATAACGCACGTAACATTGTGGAAAGTTTTTAACCATAAAAAAGTACAAATAGTACAATGAAAATCCCTTTGAAATCATCATGAATAGATGACCACAGCTAGCATTTCAGTGTATACCCATGAGGGTTTAGTTTTTTAAATTAGGTTGAACCACACCAAATTGCAATATTCCCATTTTAACAGCTTTTTATTTCGAATTAATTACAGGTTCCGAGCATGTTCTTTAAAAACTACATCCCATGATGGGGGAGAAGG